CATGTGCAATATGAAGAGAGGGTTTTAGTCACACGGGATCCTTGGGCGTCGCCCATTGTACTAAATTGTTTTAAATTGTTTTATTGTGTTTTATTGCACTGAGTGCCATATTGTTGTAAGCCGCCCTGAGCCCGCACGCGGGGAGGGCGGGGTATAAATAAAATTAAATAAATAAATAAATATAAAATTCAATTAGCCTCAAATATTTTATTTTCCTTTCTTAGTCCTACAATAGCTGTAAAGCTGTAAACACTATTGTTATGTACTTGTACTCTAGTGGCTAAAGTTTGTGTTACAGTTAATAAAAAGCCACATGCTTAGCTTACATTTGAATGTAGATTAATAGCTGCACCTCAGTAGTGCATGAAAGTTAGTCAGGGCAATGCATATACTGATCTATGCAATGCCAGAGTTATGTATGCTACCTCTACATATCTGATTGTGTTGTTCCCAGAAAGGTCCATGCCCATGTGAAGTCTGAGATTCATGTTCAGGATTGTATGAGAGCCAGTTTGGTGTAGTGGTTAAGAGCACAGACTCTAATCTGAGAGAACGGGGTTTGATTCCACACTCCCCCACATGCAGCTGTGGTGTGACCTTGGGTCAGTCATAAGTTCTTTCAGAGCTTTTCTCTCAAGGACAGTTCTTGAGAGAGCTCTTTCAGCCCCACCTACCTCACAGGGTGTCTGTTGTGGGGAGGGGAAGGGAAGGGGACTGTAAGCCACTCTGAGACTCCTTTGGGTAGTGAAGGGCAGGGTATAAATCCCATCTCTTCTTCTTCTATGATATTTTTCTATTATCCTGCAGTATTATCTGCCCTAAGCCCTGTATGACCCATTTTAGTGTTCAGACATAGTGAATGTATTTCGTGAACCTTGTGTCTTGTATATTCACTAGTTACAGTGCTTTTTTTCTGACCACATGCCTGTCTTCCAGTTTGTATTACTAGTACATTACTCTTACTGCACACATAAGCCATTCACAACGTAAACATCTGCTGTAAATGTTAGCTTTCCAGGCTGCAGGCAGAAATTCAAGGACAGCATTCTTGAAGGAGTTTGAAGATCACACATATTTTTAACATCACCTTTATTAATAGTTCTTACTTCACTACAAGAGTACATCATCTGGGAAAATCTACTAATTGGCACAAATAAGACACATTTTTAAATACAAGAAAGCAACAAATAATTTTTTTGGCGCAAGTGCTTACACCAAAAGGATGTGGCCCCTAGACTGAAGGCCATTTTGAACCAACAATGAAAAGAGACACAGAATGCAGAAACATAGTATAATAAGGTAAAGGTAAAGGTTCCCTTGCTCGAAAGCCCATCGAGTCCGACCCTAGGGTTGCGGTGCTCATCTCCGTTTCAAAGCCGAAGAGCCAGCGCTGTCCGAAGATGTTTCCGTAGTCATGTGGCCGGCATGACTAAACCCCAAGGCGCATGGAACGCTGTTACCTTCCCACCGAAGTGGTACCTATTTATCTACTTGCAATTTCTTGCTTTCGAACTGCTAGGTTGGCAGGAGCTGGAACTAGAGACGAGAGCTCACTCCGTCATGCAGCAACTCGGGTCTCGAAATGCTGAACTACTGACCTTCCACAGCCTGCAGTTCAGTGTCTTAACCACTTGAGCCACCGCAGCTCTTTGTTATAAATATATGGAAAAAATGGCTGTATTTCAATACAAGTTAAAACTGGGAAATATAAGGGACCACAAGTGTTTTTGTTCCAAAGGTAAGCTGTGTTTGCTAAAGATTCCTGTTATCCTTGATACAGATGACATTGACATTTACTGTCTCCCCCATCTCGTTCATCATTACTGAAACTTAAATGAAAGACACATTTCATTATGTTTCTATAAACATGCACCTGCAAATATTGGCTTGAGTGCTGGGTTTTGGCTGGCAACCTGCCAATATTCCTCTTCCAGAAAGGTAGCCCTTTATGGTTGCCAAATAACACCTAGTAGAAAAACATTTAAGCGAAAGCAGAGGCTACACAACCCAATCACAGTGTTGGGAAACCTCTGCATTCCACACTATA